TCTCAAATGGTTGATCATTTTATGGGTGTCTCCCACTAGTGGTATGGTTCCCCTATACACCTATCCATTGTTTAGCTAAAAACTGAGTAACAGTGAGTTCAGTTCTAGACCTGAAGATGACCAAAGGCCATAGTCTCTATCTGACCAGTATGTCTTTCTTACAATTTTGATTTCTGTTCCACATTTTCTCCCACTTTACCCAGAACCTTCTAATGTGGTCCCTTTCAGAAGAGCTAGCAGTGGGGCACCATCTTGTTCTTCTGGTGTCAGGGTCATGGAGACTGATGTTCTCCTGGTCTATCCATCATCAGTCTTCTTTACTACAGATAGGGAGAGATCCATAGTTGCACCTTAGATGGCCGCTCAGGAGCTTTTAAGATCCCAGTCACTATTCACCAAAGTAGGATGTAGAAAATTATCCTTGTGGATTGCATTACACCAATTGACCATGATACACCCCTCAGACCAAGGCTGCAGTCTTCATGGATGCAGACCACCACAGCAACTGGTGGGTTTGAACCATGGACCTTTCAATTAACTGCTGAATGCTTAACCACTGTGCCCCTAGAATTCCTCCAATTATGTTATTGTTGTTGTTGTTATTGTCAGGTGCCATCGAGTCGGAACAGACTCATAGCAACCCCATGCACAGCAGAACGAAACAATGTCCGATCCTGGGCCAACCTCACTACCGCTGCCATACTTGACACCATCAGTGATGCCACCTGGCTGATCCGTCTCGTTGGGGGTCTTCCTCTCTTTCTCTGACCCTCCATCTTACCCAGCATGACATCCTTCTCCAGCAACTGTTCCCTCCTGTTGTTGTTGTTAGGTGCTATCAAGTCAGTTCCAACTCACAGCAACCCTATGCACAATAGAATAAAACACTGCCTGTCCCTGCATCATACTTGCAATTATTATGTTTGAGCCCACTGCTACAGCTACTGTATCAATCCATCTCTGCTTTATCTGTTGTCCTGGTGTGGCACTATAGGATAAGCACTGGACTGCTAACTGCAAGGTAAGCAGTTCAAGTTCACCAGCCACTCCTCGGAAACCCTATGCAGGGTCACAATGAGTCAGAACCGACTAGACAGCACTTTACAACAACAGCTACTTTCCCAATAATGATATCTTTTTCCAGGGATTGGTCCTTCCTGATAACATCTCTAAAGTACATGAGACAATATCTCTCCATCCTCACTTCTAAGGGGCATTCTGGCTATATTTTCTCTAAGACAGATTTGTTTGTTCTTCTGGAAGTTCATGGTATTTTTAATATTCTTCTCCAACACCATAATTCAATTCTTTCTCTGGTCTTTCTGTTTATTGTCCAGCTTTCACATGCATCTAAGGTGACTGAAAGTATCATGGCTAGGGTCAGATGTACCTTAGTCCTCAAAGTGACATCTTTTCTCTAACACAAAGTGTTTTGTAGCAGATTTGCCCAGTGCAATACATCCATCCTCTGATTTCCTAACTGTTGCTTCCAAAAGCAATGATTGTAGACTTGACTAAAATGAAATTCTTGACAACTTCAATCTTTTCTCCATTTACCATAGTGTCGCTTGGTCCAGTTGTGAACATTTTTGCTTTCTTTACATTGAGTTTTAATCCATACTGAAGGCTGTATTTTTTTTTATCTTCATCAACAAGTGCCTCAAACCCTATTTAATTTCAGAAAGCAATGTGTGTCATCTGCATATCACAGGTTGTTAATGAGCTTTCCTCCAATCCTGATGCTGCCTTCTTCATTTTATTCAGATTCTCAGATAAGTTTTCAGCATACAGATTGAATAAATATGGTGAAATGATACAATCCTAGTGTACATCTTTCCTGATTTTAAACCATTTTGCTTCCCTTTATTCTGTTCAAACAATTGCCTCTTGGTCTATGTACAGGTTTTCATGAGTAAAATTTTTATTTGTTGTTGTTAGGTGCCACTGAGTCAGTACTGACCCATAGCAACCTTATGCACAGCAGAACGAACCACTGCCTGGTCCTCGGCCAACTTCACTATTGTTGCCACGCTTGAGTCCATTGATGCTGTCACTTGGCCAGTCCATCTCATTGGGGGTCTTCCTCTTTTTCTCTGACCCTCCACCTTACCAAATATGATATCCTTCTCCAGTGACTGGTCCATTCTAAAAATATGTCTAAAGTATGAGAGAAGAAGTAAAAATAACTACCTGAAATTCCCATCATTTGCAATATTATTCATAATTTGTTATGATAGCCACACTGGAATGCCTCAGGTTTTGTTAGATGACTCCATCCAGTGTTTTTGAGAAGGTTGGTGCATTTGAAAGCAATAGTTTGGAATCATCATTTAGTTAAAGACAGTATGTCTATAGATTAGATTCTCAGATTGGTCAAGAATCTTACAGGAAATAAGCGGTTTATTTATAAGAAGACTAATTAGTTGTAGCTTGTGCATTTAGGTTTTGTAAAACACATTTTGCAGGTGAAAGATGAACCAGGTACGTAGTTGAGTAGTTTTACTTTGTTAAAGTTTAAGGATAATTACTGAATCCAAACTATTACAAGTTGCTTCAGCTAGAACAGAACACAAGTAAACATCTTTCTGGTATTCTCTACTTTCAGCCAACATCCATCGGACATCAGCAATGATATCCTTCATTCCAGGTCCCCTTGTGAGTCTGGCTTGAATTTCTCTGTAAAATGGTTGCAACCATTTTAAAATTATATTTAGCAAAATTTTACTTGGATGTGTGATAATGATATTGTTCAATAATTTCTGCTGGGTCGCCTTTGTAATGGGCACAAATATGGATCTCTTCCAGTCAGTTGGCCAGGTAGCTGTCTTCCACAATTCTTGAGATAGACGAGTGAGCAACTCCAGCACTGCATCAGTTTGTGGAAACATTTCAATTTGTATTCCATCAGTTCCTGAACCCTTGTTTTTCATCAGTGCCTTCAGTGCAGCTTGGACTTCTTTCTTCAGTACCATCGGTTCTCGATCATATGGTCCCTCTTGAAATGATTAAGCATCGACCAATTCTTTTTGGTGTAGGGACTCTCTGTATTCCTTCCATCTTCTTTTAATGCCTCCGTAGGCAAAATTCACTCAACATTTTGACTATAGAATCTTTCAATATTGAAACCAGAGGCTTGAATTTTTTTCTTCAGTTCTTTCATCCCTAGAAATACTGAGTGTGTTCTTCCCTTTTGGTTTTCTAATTCCAAGTCTCCAATTATAACATGTGTGGTGCTGTAGAATAAGCACTGAACTGTTAACCATAAGCTTGGTGGTTCAAGCCCACTGGTCACTCCTTGGAAATGCTATACACTGTCTCTGTGAGTCAGAAATGACTCCACAGCACTTGACAGCAACAATTATAGGATGATACATATTCATCATGGGAGCGCAGGGCCTCTGTAGGATCAGCAGTTGGAGTCCATGACATTTTCTGCTCCTGCAAAAAATATACAGCCTCAGAAACCCAATCTAGGGTTGCTATGAGTTGGAATCAGCTTGATGGCACTTAACAACAACAACATGTTCATTTTAGGAAAGGAGTAGGTAGGGATTCTTACCAACCAGCTGTTTGCCATTAAGTCAACTCAACTCATGGTAACCCTGCGTGAGTTAGCGTAAAACTCTGTAACAAAGGATTTTCAAGTGTTGATTATTTGTGTGTAGATCACCACACCTTGCTCCTGGGCACTTCTGGATAAACTTGAGCCTTTAATCTCTCCCTTAGCTGGTAAGGGTATTAACCATTTGTATCACCCAGGGGCTTAATACCAACATTTTGTTGTTTTTAACTACAAAACTTCTTTATCAGCCTACAACTTTAGGTGATTCACAGATCCCTAAAGAGTCCCAAAGACCATTTCTAAATCTGTAAGAGATTTTGGAATCTTAATGCTCCTTTTTTTTTTTTTTTTTTTGAGTCTGGGGGAATGAGGCTGAAGATATTTGCAGTTAAAAAACAAACCCATAAAAATGGGAAGTCTGGAGTCATGCGCTGTCATTCTAGAGACCTTCTCAGAGACGGGGCAAAGCTTTGATCCTGCCACCAGGTTCAAGACTCAGTGTTCTCACCCCACATCTCACCCCTCACATTGTTCTCCAAATCCTCTGGTCATCTGAGGAGATACCCAGATCGACAAAACAAGGCCCACCCGGTTTCCTTGAGCAGGACAGGGCCTGCCTGCAAGCTTTTCTTTAGTCTCAGAAAAGCCAAAATTAGCCTCACTTTTGTTTCTTTTCTCAGGAGCCTCCAAATTGTATCTCAGGAAAGGATTATTGTGCTCTGGGGACCCTATCTTATCGTAGGGAGTGGGGGAGGTGATGAGTGAAAGGAAAATGGTTTTTTGACAAATTGGTTTGGTTTCAATTCAGACAACCACATGACTTTCCAGCAATTACCCACCACAGTGTCAGTAAAGCTATTGTTTCAGTTCCCAAATATTTAGCCAAGTAGGAGGCCAGAGAAGGTTGGGGGGCCAGCAGAGGTTTGAGAGCATGCCAATGTGGAGAAAGGACTGTTTTTGGTGATCCTCTTTGGCATTCTGTTGGGAACAGAACAGTGATAGGCAGTACAGGCTGGCTCCATGTGAGTTCTTTATCACTAATGTGGAAAGCCTGAGAACCCTTCTGGAGTTCCGAGGCCCCTTAAGGTCACTGCGGGAATGCACAGAGGTGGGAGCGCTGAGGTTTGGGCTGTGAAGGATGGCAACGTTTGAGCCAAGTTTGATTCAGTTGGCAACTACTTCGTGACTGGGCCGGGCTGCCTTGCTGACCCCTCTGAGGAGATCGTGGAAATATTCTGATGTTCTTTTAACCTGTCACAGTGATCGCTGTTCAGAAAAACGAAACCATTCCAGGGCACAAATGTGACTTGAGCTATCAGAGCTAAAGATTTCATACACAGAATTCAAAGCACGACCAGGCATTTGTCCTCATGCAACTTTTCAAAAATTTCTGAGTCTCCAGGGAGAGAGAAAGGTTCTCAGCTGAAATCACGGGACGTTAGAAGGCTGGTGGCTGGCGCGGCCGCAGCAGTAGCAGCACGTGAGAATGTGTTATCGGTGGGGAACACTTTTCCCCTACACTCATGTGGTCATCTGCCTGATATGCCTGTGGGTGGAGGTGGGCAGAGGGGAAGGGAGTGTCCAGTCACCGGCGACAGAAAAGAGCTATGAGGTCATCGAATCCCAAGGCTTTCCTCGATGACCATTGGCAGCAATTGTCTCCCCAGCTTCCATTCCCAGGGTCTCTCCTCCACTCCCCTGCAGGACTCTCATAGTAGAATTTCTCTTTTGGACATAACATTTTCTTCCACCTGAAAATATGTCCTGAGCACCAAATAAGAAATATATTATTTGACAAGAGATTTGAGATTTGAGATTTAACTTTGAATGCTTCAGTTTGTTTCCAATTTATAATAGTTACTCCCTCACATATAATCCTATCTGACTTTCTACTCTTACCTCTCAGAACTCCCTGTCCTTCCGAGGGGACCCACCTTGCCACACTCTTTCCATTCAGGGTCCCTTATAAAGTCTTCTCAATAAGATATGTTGTTGTTAGGTGCCACGGAGTTGATTTACAGCGACCCTCAGTAGGCTGCTAACATAAAGGTTGGCAGTAACAATGGGCTTCTTCTGTAAAGATTACAGCCTTGGAAGCCCTATGGAGAAGTTCTATTCTGTTGGAGGGTCACTAAGAGAACAGATTTGCCAGCAATGGGTTTGCTTTGGGTTTAATCTTTACAAAAGCAGATTGCCAGATCTTTCCACCTCTGAGCCTCTGGGTGGATTTGAGCTACCAACCTTTAGATTAGCAACCGAGCATTTGACCATTGTGCCACCAGGGCTCCAGAGGCATTTGAGATTTCTCTCCACTCCTCCACTCCCACACCTACTGAATCAGCATCCCTAGAGCTGACACCTGGGAATCTGTATTATAAACAGGCCACTCACGTGATCCCACTGCACGCTGAGGTTTGGGAATCATTGAACCAGCTGACCTCTAAGGACTAACTTAGCTCTAGTATTCTAGGACCCATATGTCCTGTGGAGTCCTGGAATGGCGCTGTAGGATAAGCACTGGACTGAAAGGTCGGTTGCACCACAAGGTCGGCTGTTCAAGTTCAATAGCTGCTCCTTGGAAACCCTATACAGGGTCTCTATGAGTCGGAACCAACTCAATGGCACTTAACAACAACAACTGTCCTGTGGGATGGCAGCCTCAAGAGAATCAGCCCTTGGCTTCCCGCTTGTATGTTGTTAACTGAGTCAGTTCTGACTCATAGCGACCCTGTATAAGATTTCTGAGGAACAGCTGGTGCGTCTGAACAGCCAACGTGGCAATTAGCAGTCAAATGCTTACCCTCCAAGGACACACACCAGGACTCCTTCCACTTGTACAGTTGCATTTTGGTAACCATGAGCAACTTAGTGTTTGGTACCTTAGCTGAATACTACATTAATGCTTATGACTTTTAGGAATGACACATAAAATGGTTTCCCAGTAAAGATTCAATGTGTGGGTTTGATTTTGTGTGTGAACTCCCCACTCTTCACCTTCTTTAAGGCAAAAGCAACAACAACAATGACAAACTCTCCTTGGGATCCCTGGCAGTGGCTTCAGTTGAAGAGGGTTGGTGGTGGTGATTCTGTGCCGTGGAGTCGTTTCCAACTCACAACGACCCTGCATAGGGTTTCCAAGGCTGTAAATCTATATAGGAGTAGAAAGCCTCATCTTTCTCCCACAGAATGGCTGGTAGTTTCAAACCTCTGACGTTGTGGTAGTCATAACCACTACACTACCAAAGCTCCTTAGTTGAGGGGTAGGTGTCTAATCTCTTAGGCAATTTCCTTCATGAGGGTAAAACTCACTTGGCACCATGGAATACAGGATGTAGGGATGTTGAAATTCACTGTAGTAGCTTCCTTCAAAAGAGTAGCCTCCCTGTTTAGGGAAAGGGATGGATCTAGAGCCTTTAGGTTCCAAGGCAGTAAAAGAAACTGCAGCCCCTAGAGTGCATCTTTGGGGAGGAGAAGTAATATGCCAGCACAGTGAGTTTGTTTTTTCAAGAAAATGGAACTGGAATCAAGTCTGGGTAAGCATTCAAGGGCCAGCTGGGATCCTGGGAGGAGGCTGCGTAGGTGAGCTGCTAAATTAGGAGCCCAAGGTTTGAAGCAGGGAGTTGCTTGTTTCTTCTTGAAGAGCCATAACTACACTTGAGAGGTTGTGAGGGCAGCTGGTGAGCATTAAATAAGAAGAGGGGAGGACTAGTATCCAACAGCGACACCATGAGGCAGTGAGAAACCATGGCAGGAGTAATAATAATTGCCAATTGTTTTTGACGTTAATTGTCCAGCCTTGACCTAAGGGCTTTACACGTATTCATTAATTTAATAACTCATCTAATAACAGTTCTGTGAGGGCATCATTGTCACTCCTGTTGTACAGAGAAGTAAATGAAGGCACAGAGAAGTTAAATTACTCAATGTTCATAATGAGAAAGTGGCTAGCAGTCTGGTTCCAGAGCCGACCCCCCTAACCATTAGGCACGGCTGCCTCAGTAGCAATAGCTCACAGTTAGTGAGACTTGCTGTGTGCTCTTAGCTTCAGTGCTCTGCTGGGGACTGTTTATATTTCCATTTTACAGATGAGGAAAGTGAGGTCCAGGGAACATAAGTAATGGCTGATTACTGCCCATTCTCTTTTTTCTGAGAATGAAAACTGGATTCATCTCAACATAGCCCCTTCACTGGAACTTCATAAGCCTTTAGGGTTCATGAAAAACTCAAGCCAGGTGCCATGTTTTAGTAAGGGTGACTATGCTTCCTGCAATAAAACACGCAAGGAATTGGAAAAACAAAGATGAGGGAACAATATTGCTGCCCCCATATTTGTGAAACCACCTCATACCCGTTACAGGGGCCCCACCCCATGCTAAATAAATCGGACTACATGAAGGGTGGGGTCAGGAAATCAGAATTTAAAAAACAAAAAACAAGCCACAGGTGACTCTGGGACACAGCCAGGGGTGGGAGTTCCTGCCTTATTTTGTGTTTCACAGCCTCAGTGAGCTAGAGCAATGTTTCCAGGAACTGTTTGTAGTGTTCAAATTCTCTTGCTTAGTAAGAAGTGGCCTGTGGAACTCAACCCAAAGTCCTCTTCTGTCTTAAAGGAGGATGAGGATGGTGCTCCACTTCTCGGGCAGGACAGTGTGCAGAGGGAGGGGGCACAGGGAAGCCGTGTGTATGTATGTATCCAAGGTACACACACATCCTCTGCTCTTAGTTCATGCCCTTCCTCAGCCAATCTTCTCTACCTGAAAGTAGAAATAGCACCATCGATTCTTAAAAGCAAGGCGCTCTGGTTGGTATAAACGCTAAGCATTCAGCTGTTAGTGGAAAAGTTGGAGGTTCAAACTCCCTCAGTGGTTCTATGGGAGAAAATATGTGGTGATAGGCTTCTGTAAAGATGATAGCCTAGAAAAACCTACGAGGACACTTCTACTCTGTCACATTTGACAGAGAGCTTCCAGAGGTTCAAGCCAGATTCAGATGGACTTAGAATGAGGGATATTATTGCTGACATCAGATGGATCTTGGCTGAAAGCAAAGAATACCATAAAGATGTTTACCTGTGCTTTACTGACTATGCAAAAGGCTTTGGATTGTGTGGATCATGACAAGCTATGTAAAACATTGCCAAATATGAGTATTCGGGAACACTTCATTGTGCTCATGAGGAATCTGTACATGGACCAAGAGGCAGTTGTTCAAACAAAACAAGGGAACATCCAATGGTTTAAAATCAGGAAAGGTGTGCTCCAGGGTTGTACTCTTTCACCATACTTGTTTAATCTGTAGGCTGAGCAAATCATCCGAGAAGCTGGGTTATATGAAGAAAAATGTGGCATAAAGATTGGAGGAAGACTCATTAATAACCTGCAATATGCAGTTGATACAACTTTGCTTGCAGAAAGTGAAAAGGACTTAAAATACTTAATGATGATGATCAAAGACCATAGCCTTCAGTATGGATTGCACCTCAATGTAAAGAAAACAAAAATCCTCACCACTAGACCAATAAACAACATCCATATAAATGGAGAAAAGATTCAAGTTGTCAAAGACTTCATTTTTCTGGATCAACCATCAACACTCATGGAAGCAGCAATCAAGAAATCAAATGACGTATTGCATTAGGCAAATCTGCTGCACAAGACCTTTTTAAAGGGTTGAAGAACAAAGATGTCAGCTTGAGGACTAAGGTGCACCTGACCCAAGCCATTGGTATTTCAATAACCTCATATGCATGTGAAAATTGGACAGTGAATAAGGAAGACCTTTGAAGAATTGATGTATTTGAGCTATGGTACTGGAGGAGAATATTAAAGGTACCATGGACTGCCAAAAGAACCAACAGATCTGTGTTGGTAGAAGTACATCTCCTTGAAAGCCAGGATGGCTAGACTTCGTCTCTCATACTGAAGAAGGATCTCATGTTTGATAAAGGGGAGGGTTTAAGAAAAACAGGAAGACTCCCAGCAAGCTGGATTGGCACAGTGGCAGCAGCAATGGGCTCAAATGGCATAATGACTGTGAGGTTGGCCCAGGACAGTGTTTCATTCTGTTGTGTATAGGGTTGTTATGAGTCAGTATCGACTCAATGGCACCTAACAACAAAACTCTTGTCACATGAAGTCACTCACTATGAATTGAACATTGACTAAATGGTAAGTTAACAACAACATTCTTCAAAGCCATACTCAATACTTTCCCTATGTATCCTTCAGCACCTCTGCACCCCTTTCACAAGCCAAGGACTGCCCCTGTGTATACCTCCAGGCCCACACTCCTACAAGTCTTTCAGAGCGCTTCTCACCTCAGTCACTTCTGGACAGCCCTCTCTGCACCAGGCAAGGAGGCACCTGCCTACAAGGAGTGGGTGTCATTCACATCTCCCTCCATGCAGCAGGGTACTGGGGAAACAGAAACTCTTCGAGAAGTGTTAGTTGAATGTACATAAGGCAACAGAAGAAAGAGTGAATGGAGAAAATGTGGGATAGGAAAAACAAAATGGGAAGAAGGGTATAAGGCTGACTTCTTGAGGAA